ACTCGACTTCTCTGTGCTTCGCTTGTTCTGCTCGTAAGAACGTGAGGTCCCAGACCCCCCAGAGATGCTTATGGAGGTAGTGAACAGAGCTCTGCAGCACTGTGGTCTCGTATTCCCACCCCTCCCCAAACAGCATAGACCGTTTGTGGCATTTCAGATTCATCCTTCTTCCTTCACTGCACTTCAGATTAGAAATGGCACTTTGAATAAACAGCTCCAGCCCCTTGAACCAAAAGGGAAACGAAACAGTCAGTGCTCAGTGCTGCCCGTTATACAGAGTTTAAATCTTCCTCACTAGCTCTCTGTGGGACAACTCCTCATCTTCACCACGCAGACCACCAGTAAAAATTAAAACCACTTAACAATCAATACCCTATGGAAGAATTCAGGGGATATGGGTGAAATAAAGGGAAAAGCAACGTAAAAAATCATCTGTTTGTGCTGCCCACAGTCCAAAGGCCACCTGAGAACGTCTGCTGGGGGAAAAAAAAGTTGTTTCTCTGAAGAGAGGGCACCCTGCCAAGGGGCGGGCAGGCGGCCGGGGCTCCCTAGAGACAACTTATCTCGGCCACAAAGCAACGGCTGCCGTCACGCTGCAGTCGGCACAGGGGCGCGACTGGCCAACACGAAGGAAAACTCTGTTTAAACCAACACAAAGTGGGAAAAAAAAAACCCAAAAACTAAATCAGGCGAGTTCCCCAGGGCAGCGCTGCAGAGTTGGGATCGCCTGGCCAAGCCCTGCCCCAGGAAATGGGAAAGACAAGCTGGAGCCCGAGGCCTCAGCACTCTGCAGAGCAAGGAAAATAAAGCAGAGGTTGGGTTGTTTGAGCTGAGACGCGGCCTTAGTTACAGCTAATTCTGCACCAGGGCATCTCCTCCGAGATTCCCCCTGCCTCCACGGACCAGATCTATTTCATAGAATCATAGAATGGTTTGGGTTGGAAGGGACCTTAAAGCTCATCCAGTCCCAACCCCCCTGCCAGCAGCAGGGACACCTTCCACTAGACCAGGTTGCTCAAAGCCTCATCCAGCCTGGCCTTCAACACTTCCAGGGAGGAGCAGCCACAGCTTCCTTGGGCAACCTGGGACACTGTCTGACCACCCTCACAGTGAAGAACTTCTTCCTAATATCTAATCTAAACCTCATGTAGCTGGGCTTAGTGTTCTTCATTTTGTGAGGGAAGAATTTAGCTTGTGTCTATATTTAAAATCACCACTTGTACAACTCATCAAAGAGGTGTGACTTTCTCCTTTAATTAAGTTGCTTACCCCTTAATAAAATAATAATCTATAATTTCAATCCCTTTCTCTTTTGCAATGACTGCATTGACTGACAAATGTAACCACGCAGCTCCTGCCAGGTGGGGAATGTGCCTGTTGCTGGCACCAGGACACGCAGGAATCCCTGGGTGATGACACCAGCGCAAAGCACACAGGAGATGACCGGGCTTGGGTTTGTTGGGGATAAGAAAAGAGCAGACAAAAGACTTGACAGCATTTCCAGTTTGCACTACTCCATCTGCACAACCCTTCCTTCCACAGCACTGTTAATTAAAAGATGCAAATGACTCCTAAGAGTCTTGTATCCTGTATAAGTAATTATGTTTTCTCACCTTTATTTCTAAGGTTTCTCGGGGCATGTGAGACCAGCGGGCTGCTGTCCCTCACAAACCTTCAGACCATTTACACAAGGTTCAGCCCCAGGAGCTGCCTGACAGCCTGCAGATGCAGGAACTAGAGGGGAAAGTGCCCAGGAGAGGGGCAATATCTACTCACAGCCTCAAAAATCCAGTATTCCCAGTTAGGGGGTGGGCAGAGCCTGCCAGAGATTTCCTTACAGCCCAGGGTGGTACTCAGTGTGCTTGTAACAACAACTCTGAGTATGTACTGGATGCAAGGATGGGTTTTAGTCTTTAATCCCCTCTTGGAAAATGAAGAGATACACCCAGGAGAGCACTGGTGTGATTCTTAAAGGGGTGGGGAGAAGCTGCAGGGATCACACAGACACAGCTCACTCCAACCAGCCCAGGAACCAGCTCTGTTTTCACACCCCATTTAGTGTTGCTCTGTCAAGTCCTCCAGCAGCACGTTACCCATCAGTGGCACTGCAGGAGATGAGCAGCACAGCTATTAACCAACCTGGCACCTTTTCCAAGCCCAGGATCACTTCTGGTGTGACTCTGATGGAGCACTACAGCTTAATTCTGTCCTAGCACAGCAAATGAACCCTTTGGTGGCTTTGCTGCCAGCTAGGTGACATTGCACTGACTGAGAAGAAAGCATTTCTCTGTAGAAAGTTCAGAAATTTCACCGAAATTAAGATTTTATTTGAAAAAACAGTCATGAACTTAATAAATTACACAATAATTTTCCTCATTATAAATTCTCCATAAAATATATTTTACAGTTTTTAAAGAAAGATTTGGAAAAAGAAAAAAAAAAAAAAAAGCTTTTTCTGAGTGCTGAAAAGTATTCTTGACTTTGTGTCACGCTGGTGAATAACTCCGTAGCTGCTACAACAATTTGATTTATCAAAGGTTTTAAAACAAAAAGACCTCAGACAACAACAACAACAAAAAAAAAAAATTATCAATCAAACATAACACAGATCTCAAGGACCAAGGAAACACTCAGTGTCACCCAACAGCAAGGCTAAGCACCATGAGAGGGATTTCAGGTACCCCCACCCTTTAAAGTGGCAATCAGTGCAAAGAAACACTTTGGGAGTCAAAAAAACCCCAAAAAAACCCAAACCAAAGCTTTCCTGGGGCATTCAGTTGCTTCTGCACAACAGGCAGGCAGCACATTCCATGTTCATCCTTCAAAATACTTCAGAGGAAAAATCAGATTGATTTGCAAAGTGCCTTGAAGGTAAGTTGTATTATTCTGCAGTAGATTCATAAATTAACATAGTTGATTCTGACTGTCGGGTGGGCAGGAGAGAAGAGAAAGTTAGCAATATATTTTTAAAAAGCTCAAGTTTAATATGGAAAAGGGATAAAGCCTCTAACAACTTCACTCATTGAATGACCATGCTGAAGTGTTCGTGCTGTGTACATAGTGCTGGGGTTTGTTTTCCTCCTTTCAGTTGAGGTTTCGATTGTACTGAACTCAAAGTATGAGAACAAACAGATCTCTGCTTCTAGAGCAGAAGAATAAGCAGATTTCTCCTTATCATTACTCACAGACAGGCTCCAAGTCTTATTTTACAGGGAAAAAGCAACACTGGGACATCTACACAGGCTGCATCCTCAGTATTTGTCCCAGCATCACCATTTAGATAACTTGCCTTAAACAAAGTGAAGCAAAATAACAAGAATTAAGGACTAAGGCCATCTGGGCAGCTGCCACCAGCTCTACACAACAAAGTCAGAAGCAGCTGTAGCCTGTAAAGCCTCAGAACTTGGGCAGAATCAGAATCCTTTGCTTCTGTAAGAATAATAATAAAAAAAATTATATTTTGTTTGTGCTGTTTATTTACTCAGGGGCAGAATAAACAGACTGATCAGAACTGCTCCAGCAGCACTAGGAGGGAACAGAATCTGAGAAGCAAGTAAGATTTGGGAAAAAAAAAAACATTAAATTGATTTTTATTAAGGAAACTGACCTTTGTTGCAGCTTTAATCTATCTGCCTTTAAAAGGCAATTTATTCAAGACTCTACTTTTTCCAAAAGGTCAAATTGATGAGAAAGGTCAGGGTTCTGCACCCAAAAGAACAAACTGTTCTATTATTACAAAGCAGCTTCTGTCTGTCCTCCAGCATCAGGTGGCCTCAGGGAAACCTCTCAGCACATCAATCTGCTTCTCTGGAAGGAGAGCTGGGAACAAGAGGCATTTCAACTGCTGCAAAGCTTTCCATCCTATCACCTGGGCTTTTAAATAAATATTGCTCCTTAAAAAGAAGGAAAACAAATTGAAAATAAATCAGCAGAAGTTGCCACACAAATCAGAGATACCTCTTCTCCTGTATTTGAGAATAGGTGTGTTCTACAAAACAAACAGTCAGCCCTTTATCTCCTCATCACTGCCAGGTCAGAGGCAGTGCCAGAGAGGAAGAGGCCACGGCCAGTGTTATTAGATTCAGTGAATGGGGAAACTCTGCTGCAACTGTATTTTGAAGAATTTTACAAATAAGACCCTACGCTGCTGGATTCCCTCATCCACGTCTCCATAAATTAAGCTCATCGTCCTCTCCTATTTCAAATACCCAAAGTGCAATTGGATTATAGATACAAGAGTAGAGAGCATATTGTGAAACTCTAGATTAACTGATTAATAAAGTATTGGATTACTAGAAGAAAGCAAAATCAAATGATTAATGAACCAGCCAGTATGCCAGCACTTGATTGCATTCATTTGTAGTTTGACTCCCTCAGTGACGAGCTCATTAAGCTGGAAGTGCTCAGCTTGGCCAGGTCAGCACTTTCCAAACTGCTGATCCCTTTGCATTGCATTTTTTTTTTTTTGTCTACAAAGTCAAGTCTCAGACCCTATCCTTTGACATTAGATAATAAAAATAAATTAAAAAAGAAAAACAAAAAGTTATTCAGGTCTGGAGAAGAAGGAATGCTTCTCATCTATCTTCTTCACCTAGTTTTCTAACAGACCCCAATCATTCAGACCCAGAGCAAATAATTTAAGAAAAGTGGCACACGCTCCCAGTCACTCATATACATAAATATATACACAGAGTTACTTTACAAAGCCTGGAGATTTGCACTACCAGCATGCAAATCTCTTTTTTTTCCCCATGAGAGTTCCTAATACTGACATAGGAAACTGGAATGTACGAAATACTCCCATGACATAGCGCTGGAAAATCAAATCTCAGCTTTTAAAACATCCTATTTCCAGCGTAGACAAAGGAACATCCTCACACCTTACACTGGCACGGAACATCCTGGTATGATACACGTCAACGCAGCGTTAACACAACGGCCGACTCAACACCCCTGTCAGGTACAAAACTCAAAGAGACATTCGTTTTGATAGAAACTACACCCTGTGGGTTCGAGTTCAGGCTCGTTTCTTTTACTGCTGTCAAGTTGTACCATGGGTCAGGTGAGAAGCAGCTCTACCAAGAGGGATGTGGCTGGGCAGGTCACGTATCCCAGCTGCTGTCTTTAAAAGCTATGTTGACTAATCGCAGTTCTAGCTCAAAAGCATCAGGTCGGTCCTGGGGGTTGGCAGCCAACATCTCCTTGATCAGCTGCTTCATTCGAGCGTTCATGGATTTCTTCTTGACAGGGATGAGCAGTTCCATTTTAGGGTTTTCTAGAAGGGCCTCTCCAACGGGCACGATCGCTGTCCCCTGCTTGACGTAACTGCCCAGAAGTTCCTTCTTTGTTTCTGTATCTATGAACGTGATTCTTTCCAACATTGCCCAGATTATAATCCCCAAAGCAAAGATGTCTGCTTTGGCGGTGTAGTGTCCTTCCCAGACTTCGGGGGCCATATAGAAATCAGTCCCACATGCAGTTGATAGAAAACACTTATTTACGTTGACTGGCTCCTCAGGGTTCTGTCCTGAAGCTGAACAAACTTTGCTCAGCCCAAAATCAGCTACTTTCAGGGTAGGTTCCAAGTCATTAGCATCCATCCTGCTCTGAGATATCAGAATATTGTCAGGTTTGAGATCACGATGAATAATCTGATTTTTGTGCAGGAACGCCAGCGCGCTGCTGAGCTGAAGCATGAAACTGGTGTTGGTCTTGCGGTTGGGCTTTCGGGACAAGAGGTACTCATTCATATCCCCCCCGTCACAGAAATCCATCACAAACCACAGGTAATAAGCACTTCTCGGGTCAAAGACTATTTCTCCTTTTAATGAGGTCTCTACAAGCTGCAACAAGGAAAAGAAATGTCATAACTACCTGATGGTCATGAGAATATAAAGATATGATGGAAAAAAATGCATGAAGTTTGGATCTTCCTCTTGATAATCCAGAAGGTGAGATATTGGAAGTGGGAAAAATAAAACTATGCAAACAATTTAGGATGAAAAAAAAAATAAAAATCACAATGTATTTGACAGCCTCCTTATTTTCATGCATGCAAAGCATATCAGGTTCACACTCCTGCCCAGAAACTAGAGCCAGACCCAGATAACAGCATTTTGAAAGATACTGAATGGCCATTGCACTCCCATCTGTTTCAGCTGGACACTGTCCCACCCCGACAAAGCCCGTCCCACCCATTTCGCTAACAACTTCTAACACATCAACAAAGTCTCCACAAGTACCTCTGTACAGTGCCAGGGGGTTGTATTTGTTCTTCTACTGATGAAGTGGCACCACAATAAAGATTTTTAAAGCCTATTCTCCATTCCTCACACATGAATGTGTTCCAGCAAGTGTTAACACGAGATCCCTGAGCTCAGGAGAACGCTGCTGAACAGCTGCTGCACCTAAAACCTTTCCCACCCTCACCATCCAGTAGTTATTTTCTTGAACATAAGCACTGAGTAGCTCCAGCAGCCAGTTTTGATAGCTGCTTCATACAAAAAGCAAAGTAAAACCAGCCATCAGCTTTACTAATCCTGTTTACACAACTACACCTTTGCCTCTTCAACTCCTCCGAGGTGGCTGTTTGCACACGCTGGAAGTTCAGTCTTGCAAACATTTCTGTTAGTAGTAAACCAAGGTACACTGAACCCAACGTAGCTCCTACAGGCTTTCAGAAATTAAAGTAGCTTTTAAAATTTAAAGAAGCATTTTAAAATGCTTTATAAAAGTGATCTTTTCCATCCAAGAGCAAAACGACTGCAAATTTATAGCTATCCTCGACTGCAAGCACAACCAGTACTCAAACCAGACCAACTTAAAACAGTAACTCTGTGTTAGAACTGGAAAAAAAATAGAAATAGAAAAAATAGTCAGTAAGAGTGAGATTAAGGTATCACAGGACAGCAGGGAGTCTCCTCTGCCAAGTGAGCACCAACACACAGCTCTTCCCTCCACGTGGCTTTGCAGAACCCGGACCTGCATCTCAGTTCAGAGCATTAAGACAACAAAATCCACCCGACCAGTGGCAAAGCACCACAAGACCAGACTAGCTCAGGACTCTCACTTTACTGACTTAGTTCAGTTGACACCAGCTCAGCATCTGCCCCAGAGCACCTCAGGAGACACCAATACAGCCCTGGCACGCTGCACCAGTTCAGCTCTGTAACGTACTGCCGCCTGGGGTGGGGAGAGGAGAGGGCAAGCCGAGGGAGATCTGATTGTCTCTATTTTAGCACATGCTGTTATAAAGCCATCCCAGTCTCTTCAGAGTCAGCTCAGCTCTTCTCTGCTCTCTGGAGCAGGAAAACAATTTGTAGTCCTTGCACCTGACTCAGGTGAGATCTACCTGCTGCTTTGTTAACAGGCACTACCATCAAAAACCAATGCTGCAGGTGGCCCAGAAGCTCTTCCCCAACTCACAGTTCCACATGGCTTTTATTTTTTAAGCTCCTCCCTCTACAGCTGTCCACAAATTTGAAGCAATATCTTAGAGCAATATCCACTAATGACTAAGATAACTTCTCCCACATGACCTGGCCAGTATTATTTTACCCTAATCCCTTCATGAAAGCAGGTCAGTAACAACAACCAAGCTACAGCGAGTTTACAAAGGGAAGAATCCTCTTTCTCAGGCTCGTACAGCGGGATCTGGGCAGCTCTGAAGGGCTGTCAGAGGAATGTTCCCCAACAAAAGGTCCTACATTAGACATGCCAGAATGCCAACAATAAAAACTGAAATGATAACACAAGAAACATCGAGCTGGGTACTTGACTTTTTAAACCAGGGATACAAATTTCTGCCAGGGGATGATTTATAGTTGGGACAGCTTCTTAACAAAGGAATGAATCAGATTATCTCTCAAAGTCTTTCCAGAGCTACTTATTCTTCAAAAACATGCATCTTCAAACTTAAAGGACACTTTCAGCAGTCACGTAGAGGAAGTGATATTTATTGCCTCATTTCTCATACCTTTACCTCTCTTTGAGGAGATCTATAGTTATTTATTCAGAAAAGAAAATGTCTCGGTGCGTGCTACCAATTGCTTATTATTTCTGAAAGAATTTTAAGTGTTGGCTTCCTAAATCAAGACGGTTACTTCCTCTCCCAAGGACATTTGAGATTAAGAAATTAGTCAGAGCTCTGTCCCAAGACAATACAACCTGCACCTCCCTTCTGCTTCACCTGTGGCGTTTCCTCAAATTCTCAAAGCAGATTTGCATTAAAAATAAATAAATCCTGGAGTCTTTTAGAGTGGTATGGCTTCAAATTATAAGATACAGGTGACTGTTGAATAGATGGGTTCTTTTAAAGATATAGAATACTTCTGGGGTGTTAACAACGTAAACAATACCCTCTCCTAAGTGTACCTCAGAAAAATAAAACCTTAGCTACCCACCTCCTTCCCCCCCAGCTACACATCCACAGTCATTCCTTCCACCCCATTACCTCAGCTTCATGTACCTGTAAATAAAGGGAGGAGCTGGAGCCATGGGACATCTTCTGCACCATATCATCTTTCTGTAAGATGCACTCCTCCAGGTGAATGACGTTGGGATGTTGGCTCTTGATACTGCTAAGTGCCCAGAACTCACGCAGAGCTAGTTCCACGTTCTCTGGAGCATGGCACCGAATCTTTTTCACCGCGACCCGTGCAGAGGTCTTCCTGACGACTGCTTCGTACACCACACCATAACTGCCGCGACCAACCTCCCGTATTAGATCGTATTTAGGCTGGCTACTCACCATCTTCAAGATCAAAGGTTCTGGGGAAGGGGGGAAAAACCCACAGAACTAAAACTGATGAAGAAGAACTGGGCTGTATTTTCCCCCATATGGTTTGGTGTGGTAACACTCAGCCTACCAAACCCCTGCAGTTAACAGGGCAGCGTCTGTTACGCTGCATCCCCAGTGCTGGAACATTCCAGAAGCTCTCCTGGAAACCTCTACCTGTTGCTACAGATTAATTAAAAAGTGAAACGACATCATTTTGGTGGGATTATTTTAAGATTTCAAATACAGCCCAGTTTTCAAGGTGGCAACAATTCAAACCTAGACTTGCACTGTGCCGAGACAGGATTATCGTGTAGGCTCCTGCTCCTCAGTGTCCTCTGTGAACATCTGTGGGGACAGCAGTAGGGTACCATGCCCTCCATCCACGCCTGGGAGAGCAGAGAAGAGGCTCTAGTTGAAGCCTGTGGTTGGGCAGTTAAAGATTTAATTAACACTGCCTTTTATGGAGGTGATTGTCCAGGGAAATGTTTCTGTTATAATTTAATAATGAAATTATTTTACTGCTATTAAGCCAAGAGGACACTCCAGATCACTTCTGATTGATTTGTTTAGTGTTACTATGATTTTTCACCTCTTCTCCTCTGAATGAGGAGTCTACAGTTACAAAAAAGTTAAAAAAAGGCAACTAATTGCAGAAGCTTGTACCCAGCATCTGACTTTCACTTTTGCTCAACAGGGCAAGGCCTTCCACAAAAATTAAGATATTGCTCTGTAAGTAAAAAACAAGAGACACACACACACACACAGGGGAAAAAAAAACCAAGCCACCAAACACTGCCACAGATTTATGATCCTCCCTGCACACTTCCCTGCATGATGACAAACCAAAACACACCAGGCACCACCTTCACGCAACCAAACTAAAATGAGACGCTGACTATAGACAGGAAAAACAAAACCCCAAAGCCTGGCTAGCCAATTATCACTGGCCAAACTGAATGAAACACAAAAATAAAATAAAATAAATTAAAATAAATAATAATTCACAGCTAATATAGCAGAACGAAAACAGTTTGTAAGACTGCCAGTGATAAATGTAATTCTCTTTATGTCAGTAAACCAGGCAATAAGGACCACAAAGAAACAGCCTGTTATTAGTAGGAAGTTTTCAAGTATTTCCACTGGTTTAGGTACTTAAAAAAAAGAAAAAAGAAAAGAAAAAGAGAGAGAAAAAGGCATCATCAGTCTCAGGGCAATATTACACAGACATTTTAACCTTTCAGCATAGTTCTGTGATGCACATTTACAAGGACATTTTGAACTGAAATGTGATGTGCCTGAGAACCATGTTACCAGGAGATTCTGCTCACAAGATGCTGAGCCCGCACCTGTAGCGGGACTCTGAGGAACAGACTAAGGGTACAGCCTGAGCATCAACGCAGGGGAGAAGAGCAGGGTCTGTAATCTCACCAGCAGCCAAATAATTCCTGAGGAAAAGACTGTGTGACTCAAATACAATCACATCAGGTTCCAAATGGAGAGTGTCCAGAGGAGGGACACAGCATTGGGGAAGGGTTTAGAGGGGAAGGGTGTGAGGAGAGGCTGAAGTCACTTGAATTGTTCAGCTTGGAGAAGAGGAGACTGAGAGGAGATCTCCTGGGGGTCTAGAACTTCCTCCCAAGGGGCAGAGGAGGGGCAGGCGCTGATCTCTTCTCTCTGGCCACCAACGAATGCCAGGAGCAGAGGAAATGGCAGGAAGATGTGGCAGGGGAGGGTGAGGTTGGCCATGAGGAAAAGGTTCTTGAGGCAGAGGGTGGTGGAGCACTGGAACAGGCTCCCCAGGGAGGTGCTGATGGCACCAAGCCTGACAAGATTCCAGCAGCATTTGGCCAAGTGCCTTAGGGACATGGTGTGAATGTTGGGATTGTCCTGTGCAGGGACAGGAGTTGGACTCCATCATCCTGGTGGGTCCATCTCACAACGTTCTGTGATTCTATAAAATGAGCAGAAACATCCCGCCCAGGTTGAGGGTCAGTCAGTGTGTGCAGTTACCAGAGGATCTCTCATTCTGCCAGGCCTCAGGGTTGCTACCTGCCTTCCTGCAGCTCCACAGCGGGCTGGGCTGGC